ATATATATATATGATCAAACATTTTCTCATTTGTCGCTCAGCAATGTCATCAATTGGCTATTCTTTCAGCCTTTATCATTTTCAATAACTTTTAGATTTTTAAATTCAAACAGAAGCGTCACATCATTGAAATATACCAAATTATTATGCTTTATAAATTAATGAAATATAATATACAGGATTATATGTAATAAGGCTACGTAGCTAGATTATTAATAAAAAAATTGCTTAGAAAGTTCACAGTAAGTCATGATTTATCAACTGTATCGTCATAGTTAGCTCATAAGGCTGCTACATCGTGTAGATATACCCTTCATAATAGCTCCTATACAAAAATCTACATCTCTACTCTATTATCATCAGTCATTCAAATTGTCCGTCCTAAAAAAATTAGATGGATGCTATAGTTCAAAAACTGCATATGGAATGCATCACTTCCAATTTATTGGTGTTATTGTGCAGATAATACATAAAAAATTGATTGTATATGGTCGGTCGGACTGATCTTTTCGATTAACAAAATTTTCCTGAATTGGAACAATATACTTAAATGTAGTAAATAGAAATATGTAGAATCATAGCACAAATAATGACGTACATACATATCAGCATATCTTCTCTAGAGAGCTTTCCTCTCTCCTTATCTCTGTCAACAAAAAAATTCAGGCTTAGAGAATCATAATGTGAAATCAGTCATTTGTATATTGTCGTTACTCAGAGTAAGTTGTAACTTTATTTTTCTACAAGTGCGAATCACTAAGGTAAGAAAATACTTTTATTTGTGCGTCTAACACAAATTGTTCTTCGTTTATATTCAAACATAAATTTTCTTAGTAAATCTGTACAGGGTGTATTTAAATGAAGGAAACCAAATACTACCTTGATAGTCTTGTGTCTAAAATATAGTAACTATATGGTACCTTCATAATCTTTTGGGGGCTAAAATATAGTAATAGCATGTTACAGGGTGTAAAGTTAAAAAATAATCATTACAAATACACAATAACGGCTTAAATAAATAAAGGTAAAAATTTACTGAATTTGTACACAGACATATCAACCAGTGCCGGATATACTGGAAGATCCCGTCATTAAGAACGTCAGAATTTCGACACACCTGAATATTTTTAAATTCATACGCAATTTCAAAGATAAAAAATTTTAATCATAAAAGGAATATTTTCCCAGGAATTATTTTTCTTTTGTCTAAAATAAACTTACTTTACAGTTGAAGAAAAAGGAAATAACTAAAACTGATTCACAAGTAACACTTATAGGAATTTTATGTTACGAATAGAATGTAATCGTTATGAATATAAAAATTGAAGAAGAAATTTTAAATATTCTAAGGGGTAGTATGGTAGTATGTATATGTTTTCGAACTGTTAATGATTCCGTTATAAAATTTAATTTGTAGTAAATAATTCTAATAAGTACATTTTTCTTACGTGAAACGAACAGTTTGAGAATTATTTTCGATTTATTCAACTGTGTGATAAGGTCATTTTAGACACGAAAATGATCTGTTATTCAAATAAAATCGATGAGACCATTTTTTCCTTGAGACACCGTTACGAATCAAATAAACTTATAGAATTTTTAAAATAATAATCAATAACATCGAAATTTTATAGTTCTTTAGACACTTGTCTTCCAATACCTCCGCTACTGGTTCATAAAATTGTATGGAAATGAATTTAGTTATGTTGCCACCCTATGTTTCTTTCATCTACGACAAACATCTTTCGAGATATTTGCTTATTTGTTATATACCTATGCCTATATTGTATATATAATTGTTAAACTTTATGACCCTGGAGCTTGTAAATGAGGTGTATGCTGCTCAATATAAGTAAAAATATTAATATTAAGTACGTATATTACTCAAAAAAGATATCAGGTTACTGAATAAAAATGTTCTTAAACAACATAGAAAAACGTATGAATTTTATTTTGAAAATTGTCTATAATTTTTGAAGTTTTGTAGTATCAAATAAAAAAATGTTTGTTTTATGTTTTTCGGCATAACAAAAATAATTTCCGGTTGTTTAATTTCTATATCTGTGTCTACTTTCCAGGTATTTGCTCTTAAATGTTTCAATGCACAATTATTTTCTATTATTAGGAACAGTTTTTTTGTAGTGTGTTTAGAAATGAAAGAGAGTAATAAAAGCTCATTATGTATGCAAATCGTAAATAAATGTAGTACTGGTGCTTATATTCAATATTTTTATATTATGTATTTTCCGTATAGATGAGGTCTACTTTTAACAAAACTTTGTGCGATCGGACTGTACTAAATTGTAGCAGGTAGCTAAAATTTAATCCCCGACAATCCGTCTTTGTCTATGCCGCTTCAATTTCTCGGTCCATTTTCCTTACAAGTAAACAATATAAAAACAGCATTTCAAAACGTGAGGCTACTTTAATCATCATAACCGGGTTAAGAGGGTTTTTAGTAATTCAAATAAAATTATTCGATATTATTATCGAAATATTTATTTAAATTTAATGAATAGACTTTTATTCCACACAAAAATATATATTTTTTAAAAATTCAAATTATGGTGAGTAAATGTAGTGTTGTATAAATGTACAATAAAGAAAATAAAAAAGTAGGTATATTAAAATTCATCCTCTGAATATTCTGATGAATTATCTTCGTCTCCTAGATCGATAACGATAGGTTCCACAGTAACGTCAATTAAATTATAGAGTTCCCACATTTTCTCCTCTTCTTTTTGTACATGATGTATACATCTTTGCCAGTTATCTGCAGTTACTCGTTCCAAGGAATTTTTTAACAAAATTTTCACGTCACTTAATTTAAACGTCGTATTATTTCGCGCTACATCTCCTTTTACCTGCACCCAAACTAATTCGATTGGGTTAAGTTCACAGTGATAAGGTGGTAACCGTAGTACCGTTATTTGGCGATTTGTTGCCATTTCATCGATAACATATTTTTTCTGATCTTTATTAAGACTGACAAGTGTCAAAAGTTCCTTTTTCACCATATTTGTTTCAAAAGAAATGTTTTTTCCGGATAACCATTGAATTATATCGGCTTTCCTCCAAGCAGTCGTAGGCGTCCGCTCGATCTGCCGTGAATGGTAACTGGCATTATCCATGACAATTACAGACCCCGGAGGAATAAGATCCAACATCTGTGTAAAATACTCTTCGAAAACATCTGCGTTCATGTCTTCGTGATAGTCACCTGTATTTTTAGATTCAAATAAAAGTAAACCTCCATCTACAAAACCACTGGCACTACCTATATGTGTCACTATTAATCTTCGCCCTTTACCTGAAGGTGCCTTGAACCCTGTTAAAAGTCCATCCAAAAATGCTTGTCGAAAACTTTTTACATTTTTATCTTGCCATACTTTTGTTACAGTATATCCCTCGTGGACCCAAGTTTCGTCTAGATAATAAATATTCCTCCCTTCGTCACGTAATTTTCTAATTGATCTTAAGTAGGATCTTCGCCAACAAATAATTTCATCTTTCGATAAGAACTGACTTCCTGACTCTCGTAAGACGGCCCATAATTCTTCTACTGATTTTTGGCAAATCGTTGTCCTCTGAAAGTTCACTTAAAATTTTGTTTAGCGTTGGTATTTCTTTTTAAAATAAAATGAGTGTACTAAACACAAGTCGAATTTTACTCTACTGCACTAGCACGTCTTCGTATATTCAGCTCTAAGACTGGATTGATCTGTCACAATACATTGGCTCCAGCCCTATGATGTATCCAGTAAAATATACTAATGTACACCCATTACCTGTTAGCATTAGTGTTACCCGATAGTTACCTGAAACGAAATATTAGCATGCCCATGGCCGGTTCTTATCTCGGGGTTTTATTACTCTCTTTCATTTCCAAACAGAGTATAGCTGCCAGATTAATTTATTTATTAACTAAATATATGCCTTTTAGTTACTTATACAAATATATATGATGAGATAGACATAGATTTAGTTGGCAATAAATTTCTTACACGGTGAGAAAACCAGCTCTTAAAAATATTTGCATTTTAATATATGGGGGCTCCGCGAAAACACAAAATTAAACAGATTTTTAAAAAATCGCTAATGTAGTTTCTTCAACTTTTACCCCTACAAATATGATCTGATAGGCCTTAGTTTTTGTACAAAGAGATCCCAAAGTACACCTTTCTCCCCTCTTCATTTAAAAAAGATGGTCAAAATCGCTCTGTAAACAAATTTTTTTATGAGGGTGATCCGGTTTTAAATGGGTCGCACTGTATATAGAAATATATGTTTATGGGACTTGATAACGTGGAAAATCCTAACTTTTTTAATAGGGTTTCGTATACATATATTTTACTTAAAAATTTTCTTATCTTTCCAGAAATGGCACCAGCTTATAAACTTACATATTTTGATATGACCGCTCTTGGAGAACCCATCAGGTTCCTTCTGAGTTATGGAGGGATTGAATTTGAAGACAACCGTATTCAAAGAGCAAATTGGCGCGCCTTTAAACCGAGTATGTATTAATAAGTAAAATAAAAGACTTCACTCATTCATTCGTTCCTATGTAAATCTAACAAATGTGTGAATATTTCAAACCTACTCTTTCTAAAATGTTTTTTTGTAGAAAGCTTGTAATACGGAAACAACATGTTCAACAAAATCACCTATTAAAACGATCTTTGGCAGAAATTACCTTAAATTTTTTTATATACATTTACTTGTATAGGTACGTAATATCCATCCATCAAACTAAAGCATTGTCGGAAACTATAAACATTTGTCACCATTCTAGAGTAGAATTCATTATATGATCGCATTTTGTCCAATTCAGATCAACGTTTTTTATGCAGGATGTTTTTCGAATGAAGTAGCAAAAATGGCAACAGTGAATGTAGAAGCAAAAATAAGAGGATTAAAGTAAAAATACATTATATGAAAGTTGCGCCCCTCAGGCGATATACCCTCTTAAAGGAGGGGATTGAAATTCACATTTTAATTTTTTTCTTTAACGTGAGCAATGCTAGAGACACGAAACTTGGTATGAGCATCCTACTAATAAAGAGACAACTTTTCAATATCTGTTCGATCATTGGCGTATTTTATAAAGGAGTGAAACAGTCAATCCCAGTGCAATAATTTATTAGAAATTTGTTATCTGAAGCAAATTATTTATTTAAAAATATTTATTGGGAAGAATGATTTATTGCGCCACTTTTTTACCTCTTGTAATTTTTCGATAAAACCGATAGTTTTCTAGTAAAAAAAATAGATGCGTCATCGTTCACTAAAGGAGTAAGTAATTGCGAAAATTTGTAAAAATATAGTCGGATGTCATAACAAATAAATTGTTATTTATCATATTAATAAATTTACACCTTCTGTCAATAAGTAATTTAATAATAAAATTAAGAATAATTTGCTATTAATTATTGAAAAATGTTTGATAACTTATGACTATGGGACATATATTAGGTAATAGTATATTACGTAATAAGTGTTGTAAAAAGCATTTTACGCACGAATGGAAAAGTTACGCACGACGCCGCGTACCGGCGAGTGCGTAATTCTATAAGTGCGTAATTGCATTACACCACGTATTACGTACTATACCTACGACCACTACTGTAAATACTTAAAAACACACTGTCTGCGATCAATGTAAGATTCCTATTACGTAGCAACCGCCGAGCAACGGTCAATACAAACAGTATTGTCACAGACAATATAGCGTATCGCCACAGACTGCTTCTTAAATGCTGGAAATTGGCAACCCGAAATGGAAGCAGGCTTTTGTTAGCCGGCTTCCATCAATGAAATTTAGCGTGGTAACTCTTCTACTTGGTAATAGGCGGCAGTTCCAGCGGTGGCTTTGTTGCCAAATAATAACTGCTAAATAAATTTAATGCTTTCAATTATGTAATTAAAGAGTTATGGAACTTATCTTCTGTTTGGAAATCACATTTACCTTAAATGCTAAATAAAATAAATCAAGATAGAATTAAAATTATGAATTTACCTAATTAATTATTTATTTTATATCACGTTGGAATGGGAAAATTCAAAAACTCTAAATTAATGTTTTTAGATTTGTGCGTCCACTTCCAATATGGTACGATATTAACACCTATGTTTAAAAAAATGCATTATAAGGTTGTGTATCCTTAGTACTGTTATCTTATTGTTGATTTCTTTAGATAGGTAAAATAATTATTGACACAAGTGTTGCATATCATGGATGCCATTGGTAGTGCTCATATTTGTAACACAAGGTGTTCAAAAAAATCAACACAATGTAAAATTGCTGGAACCTCAAGGAGTAGTTGAATACGAAATTTATTTAAAAAAACAACAAATCATCAATCAATACAGAGATAAGATAATGCGTTCGCTACTGCTGTTGCAAAATTTGACAAACTTTTTTGTTTTTCAACATACTGACTTCGGACCTTTTCCATTCAACGCAGAACGGACAATCAGAACCAGAGGAGTGGGGAGATTTTTTTAATTATTTTTTCAATTCAACGCACCGTTTCCGAATTATAAGACCTTTTTTACTGTATTATCTCACACACCTCTTCTTTTCGAAATTTATTTTCCACATACGGACTTCGGACCTTTTTCATTCAACGCAGAAGTGACACCAAGGGTGTGTTGAGATTTTTCAATTATTTTTTCGATTCAACACACCGTTTCCGAGTTATAAACACTTTTTTATCCTATGATGTCACACACCGTTGCTCCCGATTTTTTTTTGACATGCGGATTTTGACGTTTTTCACTCGTTCACCATGGGAGATTTTTTGATACTCAGAACCAAGGGGAAATTTGTTTATATTTCCAGCCATTTCCGAGTTACGAGCAAAAACCGTTTTTTTTATACTGTGTGACATCATAGATCGATAACGAAGGCTAAAAAGGCCACGCGCTCTACCCCACGCTCCCTCCCTACGTGTCCTGAAATTGCTGGGGGAGACTCCTGAAGCAGCAAAGAGAGAGAGAGGCAGAGAGAGAGAGACAGAGAGAGAGAGAGAGAAGCCCTGTATGAGGACAGAGTCTCTATCGCACACTATAACTCTATCTCTCTCGCACACAATCAAACAAAAACGACAGAAACGAACCTTCTTTTAAAAATACATGGGATTTATCATTATGAGAATAACCCATAACAAAATTACAATGGGTTATCCTGATGACGAAATATAAAACATAATTAACTGTATTATACAAATAACAATAATGTGCAAAAGTTCTTCAGGAACATTGGCAAATTTATTTTGGAGGAAGAATCCCGTCAACGGATACTAAAAAATATTATTAGAAACCTTAGGTGGCCAAAAAACAGCCCCGATCTCATTGTCAGTCCTTTAGACATATATTTTTTTAAAGGTCTGAAAAGTATTGAAAGAAAAATACAGGACGAAATGCTTGATAATTTTGAATTTGTTTTTGAAGCAATTAATAGTAAATTAAAACATATTTTCAACTGTATCATCACAATTACTTGCATGTTGATTTGTAAAAATTGTAGGTATTTTAATGTTATTTCGTTTTTAGGTATATTCTCCTTATGTTGTTGTAAAGGTTAGTTATAAATAGCGTTGTTTGTTATTTTCATAAGGATGAATTTTAATTTTTTTTAATGATTTTTTTTATTTTAAACATATATATTTTATGCCAGTAAATTTTGATGTCAAATGAAATAAAGGAAAAGTCGTACATTTGTATTTAAAGTTTCTTTCTATCTTTAATTATTAAACCTATAAGTGGATGTCAAAATACAAAAAAAAACCTGTACCTACATT